GGTTTGGGAACTGTGTGCTTTGTGGTGGTGGTATTGCTTTGCAGCACTCAAGATGCTGCACCAGGGACTGCCAGCTGGGAAGGTTGTGTCTACATGGTGTGGATCTTGGGAAGGCAGCACAAAAGAGGACAGATGGGATGTGATGGGAGCACCTGCAGTCACCTGATGGAAGGGCTGTGGATCTCAACCCTTCATGATTCATCGTAGGGCCCCAAGTGTCAGACAGGTTGGCCACTACTGGTGTACAGCATCTGAAACACTCTGCCTGAACTAAGTGCTAAAAGTAGAAGTATAGCAACAGCTGCTGGTGCAGAAGGAGAAGAGGGCTAGAAAGGAAGTCAGGGTGCATTTAGCCCTGTGGCTGTGGCACGTTGAGCTGGGTTCTGGCTTGATTTCCAAAGAGGATGATGTGTGAGGCTAAAGGATCAAGTCCCTTTTCCTTTCTGTTTCAGTGACATATTGGCTGCTAGCATGAAGCTCTGGAGATGTGCTCTGAGATCTTCTTTCTGTGCTCCCAATGAATGACTTACAAAGCTTACAAAGAAATAATTTTCCCTCTATTTTGAAACAACTCACCTGAAATAATAAAGCATGTTTCTAGATAAAGCATTCCGAGAATAGGAAACATCAAAGCTCCATAAGCTTTGACATAAACCATTGCTGCTGGAATGGGAGGCAGGGCTAGTGTTTGTAGCAGTTGCTGAATTCTTTTATTAAGACAATTTGATCTTACCTGATTTTTTTATTTATTTACCTGATTTATTTATTTGTTTTTGGTGGAAAAAAGACCATTCTTATGTCATGCCACCCCACCATCTCCCAGTGTTACTCAACTCTAATCAGTATTCAAAAGGAAAATGAAACATTTTCAGGACTAGGAACTGAAAGGGAAACATGCATTTTTTTAAATGATGGGCTTTAGAAGCCCTTTGCTGTGTTCATGGATGCTGGAAAGTACATTATTCCATTGTGAAGAAGAGTGTGCCTTGGGAAGCCAGTGGCAGGCACCTGGAACGTTGCCCAGAGGAGAGATGGCAACGGGAGGGACTCAGCCCCCTTGGAAGGCAGGGCCCAGCCAGGGGGGCGAGGGAGCAGCTGCCTCCATCATGCCCTTCCCTATCCTGCTGCCCCATCCCTGTTTCAGCACCTGATGGGGCAGCTTTGCTGCCAGGAAGGGTCCAGGGCCCCCCAGCCTCCCCATGGGGGGGTGTTGTCCCACATCTGAAGGTCCCTAGGCAGGTCCTGCTCTGGGTTTGGGTGCTTGTGCTCCTGGGCACGCTGCATATCTAGTCAAGATGGCTCACACATTATCTGCCCATTTACTTAACAAAGCTGCATTGGCTGCCTGAAATTACCTAGAAATCATCTCTCAGTCCAACCAACACTGCTGTCCCCCATGCAGGGGCCTGCTGGGGTGGGAGGGAACAGAGAACACCACCCACATCTACAGCCTCCCACCATGCAGAGCAGAGCCACTGCAGGCACATGCAGCTCAGCTGTGCACGAGGGGGCTTGGGTGGGTGTGCTCTCCCTGGGTTCCCCAGAAGCTGGGTTGGCCCCAAACTGAAGCGAAAGTGTTTCCTTCCAGGAGAACGTGTCCCTTATCCATTTCTGAGTGCTCAGGTGGGAGGGGCTTCAGGGATGTCACTCTTCACCAAGGATGAATGAAGCAACCAAGCTGAACTTTCTTTCACTGCTGAACAGTCTCCTCCTCACCTTGAAGGACCCTGGGGGAATCTCTTCCTTATTTGCCCCTTAAAATTAGTATCATGGTCAAGCGTCTCTCCAGATTCAACAACTCCCAGCAGGTTGCCTATATTTGTAATTTGATAATTGTGTAGAGACAAGTGATGTTCCTGGGTTATAAACAAACATGCCTGGAGGAGGAGACAAAAGGTGTATGAAATTCATCCAGTTTGGCTTTTGGGTGTGTGCTCTTGGAAACTTTCCTAGACTATTATCCAATAGTTTAAACTTAATTTAGAGTTGGGAAATCTAAAATGCACCTATTTGTTACAATAAGAGCTTGGTGGCTGTAGACAGAGCTCTGCAAGCAAACACCAGCAGAAAGAAGCATCCTCTTGAGAATGTTGCAATGTCATTTGGAAAGTGTAGAGACAAAGCCAAAGGAAGATGTTTAGGACACTAGCATGAAAATGCCTCATGAGTTTGATGTGTGTTTAGAGTTCTTTGACTATATATTTTTAAAAGATGAGTGATAAATTGAAGGTCAATACCTTAACTCTGCTTTGTTGAGTGGAAGTGTCTGGTTTTCTATCCGATGATCTTTTTCTTCCCCTCTATCAATGGAAAGCAGCACTGAAAAAAAAGGAGGCACAGAGAAAATTACGTGGGGGGTAATTAATTCTCCTAGTCCCTGCTTTCACCTTCTGTGGCCTTTGTGTTGAGTTTGGAGCACTTGCCAGAAAAGCCTGATGCAAAGAAATCATTGAGGACTTCAGCCTTCTCAATATCCTGTGTTGCTCCCTTGCCCATTTCCTTCAGGAGAGGGCTGCACTCTCCTTGGATGTCGTTTTCTCTCCGACATACTTAAAGAAGCCTGACTAATCTCCCCCTCAATTCAGCCTAGTGGCCAAGACCCTTCAACATCTCTGCAGTAACCCATCTGTAACTTTTTCCTAACTCCTTCACTTGGTGTGTATGCCCTGCTCTTAAAATCCAATTATTTCTATCCTTGATGATTTCTTACTCTCCATAAGGTAGCTGTGTTGTTCATGTCAACCTATCAATGCCTATACTTCAGATGTCAAGTAATTTTCTAATTTGGCCTCCTGATTGAAGCTTTGGACAAAGATGTAACAGGACCCCAGCAACATAAAGGACCATTTACAAGATACTGTGCCAGTTTACTAGTTATTAAATGGTGATTCTGTTAATAATTACATTTTTAATTGAAATCTCCTTGGGTATATCTTGGCCTATAAAAGGCTTTAAGTGCCTGGATTCCTTTTCATGCAACATACAAAGCTTTGCATGCTGGCAGCAGAGAGTCCTTGCAGTGAAGTGCTGTCTATGAATATTTATGCCAAGGCAAACTGTGCTCTCAGACAATGATGGGAAATGTGAGAATTTTGGGAAACAAACAAGCAGACAAATGGAGGTCACAGTCCCAGCAATGAATAGCTGAACAGCCTCTCACTTGGGAGGGTCAGTGTAAACTTTGTAGGATAATATGGTTAAAGTTGAGTGTTGCACCAACAAAACTGCAAAGGTTACACAGTGAAAGAGACAAGGAGCCTCAGTCCTCATGTATGTATGTAAAAGGCAAATGGGTTTGTCTGTGGGAAGGAGCTGTTTGTGGGAATACATCATAACCATGTCTTGGCCTTCCCAGATACAATCTAGGAGATGACACTTTTACCTTTGTTGTCTCTTCCAGGTCTCCTCCTTGGCAACACAAAGGTAATTTTTCAGTTACAGATATTTGATGTCATGAGTTTCAAACCAAATGTGATGGAAAGCTGGATACTGCATTTGAATTCTCAATGGCTTTTGATGAAAGCAAATGGGCAAAATCCACCTGAGCCTTGATTCTGTTGGTACTGAGTGTAAGGGCTTCCAACCCTGCTATGAATTTAAAGGGAAAACCTTTCCCAAGAAACAACCAGAATGATGATTCTTCAAGTGTTAGAATCTGTCAAAAGCAGAACATGAAACTCATGTAGGGATTGAGAAGTCTTATGAGATCAGCAATGTTTTGCAATAGGGGGAATGTAGGAAGAGTCACATTAGAGCTGCGAAGGCTTCTTTACAAATGCCAAGTATATCCTCCAAGTCAGACAGAGCTGTGGACACCAAGAAATTACTTCCCAGGCACTATGGTTTTATCTTGGGAAAAAACTAATATTGTTCTTGGACTATTCTCAGTTCCCCACGATAACATTTTGGGAAGATCCAACTACAAAAAAGACAGCTTAGTCTATCTAATGAATTTCTGGAGATATGATAAATGAAACAGTGTTACTTAGTCATGAGATAAGGTTTAGTGGGCACAGGGTCACAGCCTGTGCTGAAATACAGGTGTAAATCTGTGCAGGTGAGTTCCCCTTCTCCCAAATCTGGCAGGAAAAGGCTCACAGGGAACATCTTCTAGAAAGCCAGCAGGCAGGTATGGAGATCTGTCTTTAAGTGTGAGGAGAAGTGTGTAATGAAGAGGCTCCTGAAGAGCTGCTGGGGCCAGCTGTGTCCTGTAGCAACTCCTGCTGCCAGGGCTGGTTTTAATTAGCAGCCCTTCACTTCCCGGGGAGTGCTGTGGGTGCTGACTGGTACAGGCTGGAGCCCAGCACCCTGAGCTCTGGGTGCTCAGGGGTTGCAGACGTGCTGAGACATGCTGCTTCACTCCAGAGATCCTCCTGTACTCGCTTAAGAGATGTATCGTGTGGGCACTGGCAAGATTTAATGATGAAAAAAGTAAATAAGATTACAGCAAACTATAAGATAAAGTAACTAAGAAAGTTCCAGTTTTGTATTTAGCTTTTAGTTATTTGAATAGTCTTATACAAAGAAAATCCCCCAAGTTTGCTGTGCAGGGAGGATGTACTTTTCCCGGTGGCTCACTGTGCATGCTGCCTTTGTTTGGTAATTTGCTCAATTTGGCAAGAATGTGAGGACAGGGAGACTCTGTGAAGCCAACAGGCAGTCTAGAGATTTCACTTTGAAGGGCTCCAGCCGTGAATGTGTTAAATGTTTTCATCAGAGCCTTAAAAAAACAAAACAACAGACATATGGTAGCTATGCCAGAAAAAGTTTACTTCATAGAAGTGTGAAGTCTCTCAAACACAGGAGAGCAGGAAAGGAGTTCACCGCTTCCTTTTGAGCAGCTTCTAACCGTAAAAAGGCTGATTCTCAGTCGCAGGGGGCAGAGCCCTCTTAAGTGAGACCTCCCTCCCAAGACTTGCCGGGATCCTCTGCTTCCATCCGGAGCATTAACAGGCGCCTTGGCAGAAGGAGTCAAAGCCTGCCAGCCCCCAGGAGCAGAGATGTCCAGGGGGAGGATCTGCTGCCTAGTGCTGTTGACCTTGGGGGTGCTGGCGGTGGTTGTTGCACTCGTGGTCATCCTGACACGACCCACCTGTGCTCCCCAGCACTACCTGCACGGCGCCGTGGCTGCCGACACTGAGACCTGCTCAGCCATCGGCCGGTAGGTGCTGAGAGCGCGGGGGGGCTCGGGTTATGTGCCGCACGTGTCGAGGACTCGGACTCGGACTCGGACTGACCGGCAGGTGCTGCTGAGGGAGCTGCCTTTCCGCCCCGTCCCTCTGCTAGCAGCAGTGGCTCCCAGGGCAGCCCTGCCTCTGCCGTTGAGGCTTATTTCCTCTAGCCAATGTCACAAAACCCTGCAGCTCTGCAAGTGCTTGACCTTTAGGAAAGTAAAAATATTTATAGTGTACAGATGTTAGGCTGTGTTATTAGTGGAGAAGCAGAACATTAACAGCTTACTTCAAGCTGAGAAGTGGCTTAGAAATAAATGTAGGAAGAAGTGAGAGGAGGTACCAGAGCTGCAGCTGGGCTCCAGCAGGGGCAGGGTGAGGGGGAATGGGCATCCCAGCTTTCAGGGTGGGTGTTTCTGTGCTGCAGCAGGTGTGTCTGCTATCAAGATAAACAGTCTGAGTTGTAAAGCAAAGAGCAGATTTAATTCCAGGTCAACCAAGACAGTGTAAGTACAAAGATGTACTTGCCTCAGTTGGAAGGTTAAAAAAATTCTCTAGCTACCCAGGCTGTAACACTTTGGTTTGTAACAACCTCTGTCTCAAACATTTCGACTGTTTGTTATTATTTTACTGTTAAATAATTTCTTAAACACTGGTATATATGAAAGTAGAAGGATGGGACTTCACAAGCTACCTGAGATGCTGAGCATTCCAGCAATGGGTGCTGGAGCTGTGGGCTGGTGGCTGGAGAAGTGCGACAGGCTTGCTGTGTCCCTCATGTTGTTCTTGCACCAACACCCTGACACAGGAGTTGTGAATAGCTGGAGAAAATGTCCTGTGGCTGCAGGTGTATCAAGGGAGGAGATGTTTGATTTGTTGGTTGTTTGTTTTTTTTAATCTAAGCCACAGGTTAGTTCTTCAGAGGGTAGAAGTATGTTTTGTATCAGTATGAATGGAAGTAGAGGAAATCACATTACTGGAATACCTAAATAATCTGCTGGGAAAACCATAGTGTTGTTTTGCAGCTATTTTTATCTGAAAGTAGTGTAGAATCAGCTGGAAGGCTGGAAGTTGGAGCCACAGAAATCTGTGCTCAGATTGACAACTGAGAAGCTTTAGCTACTGCTACTGGGCTGTCATCTGTTTCTTTCCCTTCTCTTCACAAGAAGCTTCACCTACTTCCATAGCTTCAACCACTGCTTTCTGCACCCCCAGCACACTTGCTGACAAGGTCTGTGGTGTCCCTCCAGTCTGACAGACTGCCCTTGCTTGTGGTCCAGCATGGGGAGCACTGAGTAGTAAGGGTTAGAATTTCCTTAGATTTTCTGTGCCCTGGAGCCATGGCTGTTACCAGATGCAGGTTTTTTTTGACAAAGTTGTGCTTAGATTATGCAGGGTTGAAACATGCTCATTTCTGCTCTCAGTGGTTAGAAATAAGAGAATTAATCCACCAGAACTGGTTAAGTCACTGGTGATCACGCTCATCTGCATTTTTGTTTAAATGAAGTTAAAAATAATATATAATTTTTTATAAATAATTTTATATGATAAAAAAATTATCCCATTTATGAATGATCAGTTTTCAGTTTGTCTTCCCCCCCTAGAAAAAAGCTGGTTAAATTAGGGTGAATTGTTTGAGCTGGAGGCAGACCACATCTCTGGCTTTGTACTTGCACCAGTGCCTCCTAACACATTATCTAGGGGAGTTTAAAACAAGGTAAACCAACAAATTTCCTCAGTCTGGTTTTGTTGTTGTTTTTTTTTAATTGTTGAATTCTTTTTGCGGAAACATGTAAAAAGGAAAAGAGGGACCTCCACAGCACCATGGGAAGAAAATCAGATTGGTTACAGCAAAGCTGCAGCCAAATGCAAACCACATGTTGGAACTGAACCTGCCAGCCAGCCCCGCTGCTGGAGGCACTGCAGCCAGGCCCTAAAGCCACCACAGAAGGGGTCAACAATGCCTGTCCCTGCAGACCCCCCCTCTCTGCTGGGACCATAGGCTGCCCCTCACAGCCACCCCTTTTATCCTGGGAACCCCTGCTGAGTTCCTGGGAAGTCATGCAGGGATGCTCAGACACCTTACAGTGTAAGAAGGGTGGGCACAAAACCAATTGCACTCATTTGGTGCCAAATTCTCAGAAACTAAAAGCAGCACCTAATCCCTGACCTACTTATACATTTTATTCTTTAATTTAAAAATCTCATTTCCTTTACAAAAGAAC